AGCTTGTATCTCCTCCTCTTTGTCAACAATATCTGGTTTGATAATGGCCAGAGTTTTTTCTACATATATCTGAAGTGGGGACATCGATAGTTCCATTCTGGTTTTTTGAGGTACAAGTTAAAGAGATTCTTGACGGTATCAACTGCAATGACATGCATTCCCCCGACCCAATTAAATGTAATTGTGATTAAGAACGGCATTATTAAGTGCTTGATCTTATTAATTTATAGTTAGAAACTGCAATATAGTTTTCTATAAGCAGTGTCTTTGATACAGGCATACATGGGAGATATTGCAGGTTCTGTCTCAAGTATCGCAATAAAGGGTGTGATCATCTTTTTTCTGATGGAGGGTCTTGCCTTCAGTTTGTAAAACATGCAATACCTGTGTAGCGAAGAAAGCAAGTGCAATAAAAGGAGGTATGCCTGTAATACAATTTCTACTCTGTGGTTGTGCCTTGGGATTTCCTGAACAGTCTTTTCTTCTCCCCGTCTCCTCCATCATCACTATTTGTCCCCTCTATGCCCACTTCCACCTGCACCCCACCCCATCCCTCCGAACGAGGTGGGGTCGGGGGGGGAGATTCCTAAATACTTTCAATGAGGTGGAGATGCCACAGGGCAACTTGAAGGCTGGAAATGGCGAAGATTTTAGGCGCAGCAACCGGAAACTGAGTAGGCAACTCTCCGCCATACAGCGACAGGTTCAGTGCTCCGGCCCGCTAGGATGACTCTGCATATAGGGTCAGGAAGGGTTGGAGAGTAGGATCCCAGGTCCCCTGGACCTCTCCCAGCTGCATCCGCAGATTCTGAGTTTGAGGTTGGTCTGGGCACTCACCTCAGTGCTAACTCGTCCTGTGCGACCACCGCTCGTTGCTAGGAGACGTGAAGCCCAGTTTAGGGACGGTGGCTGCAGAGAGTCAATCCCAGCAGCCCGTTTCACAGCCTCTGGAGGGCTCCTCTTAATCAAGGGAGCCAGCCACAGGCATTTTTATTCCCCTTAAGAATCTTAGCGTACTAGACGTTTTCTTACATTTTCGTCATAATTTAGCTTCTTTCATCCCCTACTCATTTGAAGCATGCTTCAATTATCCCCATTTTATAAATGAGACAAAGCATAAACACTTTCCCTTCACCCACCCCATCCCCCTTCCATGTCAAATACCTTCCTCATTTCACCAAATGATGCTGTCCCCTCTATTCCCAGCTTCTGTAATCATTAAAAAGCAATCTTATACGTGTGAAGTAACATTTATTTATAGAGCAGTCATAAGAGGTCTAATCCAATTACCTCTAAATTAAGCCTATAGATACAGAACAAAGATATGGGTGATATTTATTACATCAAATAAGTTTCCCCCTTTTCTTAAAATTATGTCCACAGGCATCTTTGACTCCTAGGTTGTGAGTTAAGGTATTATTCTTATTATGAAAGACAACAGAGAAGGTAAACAAGTACTGGGATCTTCACTGGATCAGTCTCAATGAGAGGTCCAAATTCCAGAAAAGGTCAGGGTAGCAGCTCCAGGTTAACAAAACAGGTTTTTCATCATGCACTGGGTTGGCTGGTTCTCATTCCAGACTATTTAAGTTTCTTCTTTTGTCTAGCCAAATACTCAGCACCTACAGGGTGAAGGCAGATAGCAAGCTATGAATCTTAAAAGCCACAGAGGTTTGAATTTCTTTTCCACAGTGAAATTTGATTAGCCTTTTTTTCTGTAAAATATGATGTTACCCAGAAAAGAAACCCTCAAATGTCATCTTCTGTCTACTATATCTTATCCCCTATGGACAGATAGTGTGAACATACATTAATATTAATATTTAAAATGGACATTGACTCCAGCCTCTGGTTTACATGTTTAGCCCTCTGGTTTGAGACTCTGGCAGCAGGAGCTCCCACTACCATCACAGCTCTCTTGAGAACCCTTCAGTACTTCACTGTTAAAACTGGTCCTACTGAGGCTCAGGATTTTCCAAACCAGCAGGTAAAATGTTAATCCTTGAATCACCTCTAAACATAAACTCTGGAAACACTTCAACATCACCCACCCTTATTCTCAGACTTTCTAAAATCTGATTCCAGAGATTACACTTATTTTTCTTGTAGCTGTCTACATACAGTACCTGAATCTGCTCCAGGACTTCTCGCTGCATCTCCACAGCCATATGATACACATGATGATCAGAGTCATTGTACATCACAGCATTTTGGAACATCAGCATCAAGTCTCGCTGGAATTGTGCCATGGTGCGAATCCGTCCCTTAGACAGATTCCTTTTCAGGGTAGTTAAGTCCATGGGTCTACAGGTGGTCAAGAAAAAACCACAGAGGAAATCTAACCTTCATGTGGAACATGTGATGACATAACATGCTCTCTTGAAGAACTAACCAGTTTGGGGTTTTTTTAATGCATTTTAAAAAAATGATTTTTAGGCGAAACCGGTTTGGCTCAGTGGATAAAGCGTCAGCCTGCAGACCGAAGGGTCCCGGGTTCGATTCCAGTCAAGGGCATGTACCTGGGTTGTGGGCACATCCCCAGTAGGAGATGTGCAGAAGGCAGCTGATCGATGTTTCTCTCTCATCGATGTTTCTAACTATCTGTCTCTCTCCCTTCCTCTCTGTAAAAAATCAATAAAATATATATATTTTTTAAAATTGATTTTTAGAGAAAGAAAAAGGGAGAGGAAGAGAGAGAAACATCTGTGCAAGAATGAAACATTGATTGGTTGCCTCCTACTGGGTATCGAACTAGCAACCATTAGGGGCACAGGACGATGACCAACCCACTAAGCTACACAGGCCAGGGCAGTAACCCACTTACTTTCTTCTTTTTTGTTGTTGTTAATCCTCACCCAAGGATATTTTTCCATTGATGTTTAGAGAGAGTGGAAGAGAGAGAAAGACAGAGAGAGAAGTATCAATGTGAGAGAGATGTATCTATTGGTTGCCTTGTGCATGAG